CTACTAACAACTAATCAGTGATCAGAAAAATGTCTTATTTCAGGCATCTAACAAATAAACATTCAAAGCCCCCATTGTCAAAAATGCTAACTCATTCCTATGTTAGGATTTCTGTAATTCTTTTGGTCACTGCAATAATATCTGTCCATACTGTCCGTTAAGGGAACCCTTCATGGCTCGCAGTAAGAAATGAGAGACGATATCAAAAGTCCCAATTCTGTGTAAAAGATAAATAAGCTTAAGCTAATATGATCCCTCATAAATCAGAAGTCAACACTTTAACCTATTCTTTCCAGCAAGACTCCGATTCACATCAAAATATTGCAAGTTTTTACCAGGGTTGCCAACTCTCACGCATCTGGCGTGTGACACGCGCTTTCACTCTCAATCTCACGCTCTCACGCTGCCCAAACTATTCTCACGCCAAGAACAAAATGAACCGGCGATCGTTTTTGGTCGGTTATTTACAATGTTGAGTTGACAGCAGCTCAAGCTGTCGATCCGCTCCCTCCCCGCCCCCACCACTCTTAACAACGTTAACAGACAACAGAGCAGTGGGAGCCGGTTGGTCAATCCCGACCCGTACTGTGCATGCGCAGATCTAAGATCCAGTAGAAATTATAAAAAGTAAAAGTCTGCTGCTTATTGTTCTACTAGGCCAAAATGGAGTCAAAGAGTATATGAGAGTGAGAGTGTGTTAATTAATATATTAGGATGTTTGGGGTAAGTCTGTATATTTGTTTGTGTGTGTGTGTTTCATGTATAGGCCTCTCACGATAATTAATTTTGTTGGATACATTTTCCCGGAAATGATTGCGATAAACGATAATATTGTGGGCACCGTTGTATGACCATTTTAGACCACTGACATAATGATAATATATAATAATAATTCAAGTACATCCTTTCAAACTGCTAGTCACATCCTCATGTAAATGGCAATTTATCGAGTTCATTTTTATTGATCGTACGATAAGTCAATTAATTGCTTATCGCGACAGGCACACGATAAAACAGTGGAAACAAACATGTGTTTGACTTTCATTAGTGAATGAAACTTTGTGCCCTTTATAGTCTGTGTCCAATATTGTGTATTCGTATATATTATATATCCTATATATATGCTAAGGTCCCGCTGCTGACACGATAGCAGTCATTTAGTGCGCATATGTGTACTTAAACCCATGATATCAAAATCTCACTCCAGCCAGGTACCCCAAGTTGGCAACCCTGAGTAACAGTAGCCAACCTTGTATGACAGTATGCTTTGTGAGCTACAGAGTAGATTAGCCTAGTTGACCTGTCGTGTGTTTGTGTCTGCTAGTCCACATATGATTGAAATGCTAGTTAATCTTTGTGGAAGATAGCAGTCTATTGTTGAATGTATTGTTAAAAAAGAACAAGGTCTAATAAGGAAACAGCTTAATTGTATTTTCCTACATTGCAGCCCTCTCACTCACAAATGCTTCGATGCGCACACACACTCTCTCTACTCACATGTCTAATCATTAAATGTAATCTGAGCTGCTGCGTGCAGTGCCTCGCTCATTTAGTTCAGCACCATTCCCTCCAGCGTGAGCTTCATTTCTCCTGACCTGTGTTTCACATTGCTGAGGGAAATGACTCAGGCCTGTAGACCAAATTAATCTGTCGCCTGCTGTGTCAGGAGAATCATAAAAGGAAGAAATATCACAAAAAACCTAATCCAACCCCAATAAAACAGCAGGTCTGGTCTAAGAGGGTTTGTAATTAGGTTTGGGTTGTGTGTGTAGCGTAACGTTACAAAACATATGGCATTGTGTGGCCGCTTTTTCCACTGTCTACAACACCATGGCTGCTTTTCCTTTGACAGACACAGTGAAACGAATCCTTTACCCAAGCAGATTTTCTCCTTTCTGTGGTGGTTGTGTGTGTTTACATGCACATGATATTCCCTTTTTAATGTGGCATTGTTAAGTGACCTGTTTTTAGGGTCATGCTTGTGGACTTCCATTTAATAACCCGTTTCTAATAATGCTTTCTCACCAAAAATCTGATTATATAGGGAAACTTGGTTAGATTTCCAGTTATTCGGGTACTGCTTTTACGTGTACAATGTGATGTTTAAGCGAACCTTAGTAGCATGCATAGTTTTAGATATGCTATTCCGTAGGTCAACAACAAAATAATACAAAATGGGCAGAGTTGTTTTTATGGGGAAGGCTTTATCTGCTCCTAAATCTGTTAACATGAGCACCCAGCTTGTGTAAATTATCTCAGTGTCTCACGGTGTCAGTCTGTCAGTAATCTGAAGAACACTTTATTGGACCATGACCAGGGGCTGGTTACATAACATCTAGTACTGGTTTACATGGCAAACATCCATATTCAAATACTCCTTATTAACATTTAGTAATCTAATTAAAGAGATGCTTCACCTAGCAACGTTTAGGGATATCTGACTGGAAAGTTTACTGATTTAAAGGTAGTGACATGATACTGCAACTTATACAAATACAGCACCATCTACTGGAAGGCAAGACGTACTGTACGGCATTCATTTCAGGTGAATGCATCAGGCTAAATTTAGGCAAATGAGTAATGTCTGAAGTGAGACTACAGTGTGTGTGTGTGTGTGTGTGTGTGTGTGTGTGTGTGTGTGTGTGTGTGTGTGTGTGTGTGTGTGTGTGTGTGTGTGTGTGTGTGACCTGAATTTTAAATAACTCACATTGCAGTTATCCATAAATGTCCTTATTTGGGAGTTTTTTATTTTTCTAGATTTGATTATTGGTATACAACATGTCATAGCTTTAAAGGTCTTGTTATTCGTCCAAAAAACACCACCTATATTCACTTTAATTTGAAATAAAACAGAAAAAAATAGTAAACCTACATATATTAGAAGCTAAAACTGCATTTACTTAAACAATTAATCCATTCTCAATAAATTGCCGATTATTATTCTGTAGCTCAACTAGATCAAGATCATGTCTCGCTTTTTTTTTGACACCAAGCCTTTATTTCCCTTTAAATCAGAGATCAACATTGACACACCTTCTTATGTGGTTTACATTTGAAAGAGAATAATCCCGGAGACGGTTACCGTGATCTTTTAAAATGTCTTCCAAACACAGACACAAACAAAGAGTCCTGCTGAAGTCCTTAAAACCTCAGTTGCCTGGGAACAGAAGGAAACAAATCCCATGTCCGGCAAAGTGTGTGTGTGTCCGACACAACACTGAACATGTCAGCTTTCTCGTCCTCTGGCTTCAACAATCTATCTAGTTTTCATTAACAAATCTCGTAATGGCCCCTTGATGCAGAGTTTCATTTTAAGTCTGGATAAAGATATACAGAGAAATCGTGTTTCCGGACTCCCTTTTGAATTTTTCCTGGTTTTCAATGTTCTGGATCTAAGGAAGCAGTCACCTTTAATGCTGGTGAGTAATCAAAGAGTTTCTTATGCAGTAATATGTGTAAAAATACACATATGACTTATTCTGAAAATTTTTCTCTGTATTTATTCTAAAAAGATTTATTTTGTATTACTTTCTTCAAGACATTTATTATTATATTCCGTTTTCTGAATTTTTTTTTTTTCTTTTTCAATGATCTAATCAAGCATCCACTTATTACATTGGTGCCAATTTGCATACATTCCCAGAAGAGAAATGTGAAAATTGTTCTAAATCCAGGTTTAAATGTTTTGTTGACATATTGTAGTCAAATGAATAATGTATTTTTTTTTTTTGTACTTTGTATTCTGTCCGTAATTCCGAAAATATGGTCAAAAAAATCTATTTGATGAGGAAATGTATGATATTCAAATGCTAACTTTGGTGAAATTAGGAGAAATACAGACTCAAGTAGTCAAAGCTAGTGTACCTAAAAGTATGTTTTGGATATTTCTTATTCTTTGGACATGTTATGTAAGCAAAATAGCCCAAACTCTTAAAATTGACCTGTTGAATAATGTAGTATCTCTCCTAACACTCATTACTTATTGTAAATACTCTAGATTACAGCGCCTTCTGTTAATCTGCTTTGTCATGGAACAATAGGTGATGGTGTTAAGGATATTCAAGAGGAAAGGTAAAACTCTGTCTTCAGTTCCAGGTGACTGAACTGTGCTGGGTAACTTTATCTCTCACACTCAGTCAACTCCTCTGTCAGAGTGCATTCGGTTAACTACAGACTGCATCTCTTCCCTGTGTGTCCTGCAGCACGATGGCCAAAGGAAACAAAAGCAAAGCAGCTAAAAGTAAAACCATCAGCCTGAAAGTGGCCAAAGAGTGTCTTCAGTTGACTCTGGATGGCAAACGTCGTCTGGATCTGAGTTTTAAGGAGGTTTCTGTGATGCCGAAGTGCCTCCCGAAGCTGTGTGAGGTGGAAGAAGTGGACCTGAGCAGGAACCTGATCAGAAAGATCCCGGACTTCATCGATTATTTCATCAGCATCCGCCTTCTGGATCTGCACAGCAACTATGTGAGTACGACAATTAAAAAACTTAAAAATAATGGTCTTAATGTAAGATATCAAAAGGGGAAGTTTCATGCGTATATTTGCAGTGGTGTGCAAATGTATGGACTTTTACCATACCTGTACATAAGACTGGTTTATCTAAATTCGCCTTTTTTTAATACTGTGAGCCAGAAATCTCCACTTTAGAATAATTTACATACACCAAACTTTCCATTTTGATTTTCATTATTTTTCATTATTTCATTCGAAGCCTGATTTATAGAGCAAATGTGAGGTTTTTGGGGCGTGTTGATAATATTTTGTTATTTATAGAGTAATCCAATGTCTGTGTTGTTGCGTGACCTGTCCATGTTACACTGTTTAATGAGAAACTGAATAACTTTTTGAAATGGATAGGTGTCTGATTAGATGCCATGGTGTCTTCTTTTTTATTCACGGCATTTTCTGTACAAATGTTTATGTTACAACAAAAAATAAAAATAAAAGGTAGATCACAAAGCCCAGGAAATAGCTGTAACTGATACAAGTTTAAATGGGTGTAGTGCAGAATGTGTTTCTACTAAGGGGTTTGTTTGAATATAGTTCAAAGCCTGATTTACAGAGCGTTTTAATCTTAAAAACAAGCGGAAATATATTTTTGGGGATTGTTAATAGTATTTTTAGAGTAATTCAAACAGAATTGTGGCAAACTCTTATTATGTCATCAAAATGAACCACAAAGTTGTGCAGTTGGTAATGGAGCTTTTGTTGTGTGACCTGTCCATGCCACAGTGTTTAATGAGAAACTGAATGACTTTTTGAGATGGATACGTTTTCCTTTCTTTTTTATTCACTGCATTTTCTTTACAAATGTTTATGTTACAACATAAAAGAACAGAAAAGGTAGATCACAAAGCCCAGGAAATAGCTGTAACTGATACAAGTTTAAATGGGTGTAGTACAGAATGTGTTATTGCTCTGACTTTAGCTGGAGGAGCTCCCTGAGTCTGTCGGCCGTCTCCAGAACCTTCTGGTCCTGAACCTGTGCAACAACCGCCTGTCCAGCCTCCCCAGTGCCATGGGTCTCCTGAAGAAGCTTCTGACTCTCAACCTGGGGATGAACCAGCTGAACAACCTACCCTCCTCCATCTCCGCCCTGCAGGAGCTGAGGCACATCGGCCTCTCCGACAACAAGTTCACCCGCGTCCCCTTCTGCATCTCCAGGATGGACAAACTGGAGCGGGTCAACCTGGACAGGAACCCCATCGTCACCGAGGATAAATCCAATCAGTCCATTAATACGGAGAAGCTCTGCCTGGTGAAGGAGAGCGCCCTGTGTGAAGGCTGCCTCTATAAGTGCCAGACGGACAGGAAGATGATGGAGGATAATGAAAACTGGAATGAGATCAATTGACCGGGTAAACCCAACCTGTTGACCCAGGAAGGAAAAGAAAAAAACACTTATAGGAACTTTATATGTATAGTTTTGACTCGTTTTATTTTACCGCACTGTTTACTCAAGCATACTGTACTGTTTCCTTAATTGTAAAGTGGTTTTAAGTTGTACTAGAGCGCCATCTACTGTTCTAAAAGGTACAGTAAGTAAGTTATTTAAACCCCCACTGATGCATTATAATTTGCTTAAATAGAGCTGGTATTTGCAGTGTTTTGCTCAAAGACACTCATCATTTTTGACATGTGTTTTCTACTTCACTTACGTTTTTAATCTCAACCTTCTAAGGAAGAAAAAATATATGCTTATTTACGATGATAGATAACAGATAATGAAGGTTCAACAGTTTATTCTAAGCATGACGGAGCCTATAAAGCAACTATTTTAAGTTATTAGACACACTAAATGCTCCTCTAAGTGTATCCAATGAGAAAACTTTCTATCATATAAATATATATCTATTTAATCCCCCACCAGATGTCCATGATGCATTATAATTCGCTTAAAGGTCCCATGTCATGGCCATTTCGCCTGATCATAATTCCATTGTTGAGGTATACTAAATACATTTATACTGTGCAATTTTCCAAACTCACATTGGTTTCGCATACAGCATCTCTGTAAAGTATGTGTATTCAGCAGTATTACTATTCAATTTCTCCACTAAACGGCTCGCTGCAGCTCCCCCCCCTCCCTGTGAGCCGATTGGTCGGGACGTTGTGAATCGCGCTGAGCTCCGTGGAGGTGTGATTTCCTTGTTTAGCGATACCCAGCGAAACTCACCCTGAGCACACACAAAGTCACAGCCGAAGTAAAAACAATAAGTGTGGCTTGATATTGAGTAAGAAAAAGGTTTATAGGTTGATAAACGCTGTGAGAATGGGTCTGCAGAGAGAATTTCGCCGCGATCCCAACTGTCTGTTATCAGCCTGCAGCCAGGGAGGAGAAATCAGCAGAG